AATTTTGTTTTTAAAGTCATTTAGTATTAGTTAGCTCTTATAGGCCTGCCCCTGCAGTGTAAGACAAGCATTTTTTTAATGATTCTAAAGACTTCTGACAAATATGCTAAATTTTCTTATAGCTCTTTTCAACATGCACCAATTATGTGTTTGCATACCTTTCTCCATAACTAGACTACTCAATTCTTTAAGTTAGAGATTATATTTTTACATTGTTTCTTCAGGCTCTAACACAGAGCAGGCATTTAATGGATTTTGGTAATCAGATATTTACTATGATACACACTTACTGAGATTCAAAGAGGTATGTGAAAGTATTCAGGCACATTATAGAGAAAACACTTTCAAATTCAAAACATTTGACTCCACTAGGCATACTCATGAGGATAGAGGCACACTTTTTAACCACTCATTATTTGTAAACATAGCTGATTCATGCAGAGAGAGTCACAGTGTATATTTGACATATAATCTCATAAACATGAGTTTGCCAACCTTCTTCTTCTTTCTGTTAGAGTCAACTGCCCTCAGTCATCTCTTGGATATGAAATCTTAAACAATCCCTCCCCCACCCACACACACATCCAAATGGTCAGGAGAAATGTAGATATGTAGTATGATAGCTGCACTGAATATTCTATCTTCATTTTCATCTGACTAGCACAGGAAGGAGATAAGATCCCTCTCACCTGCACCACATACACTGTTTCTATGGACAAATCAGCTTAGGTTCCACATTGTATGGTTTTGGAAAAAATATTTAGCCTGTCTATGTAATGTACCTAAGTGTCAGTCTCTTCATCTGTATATTTGGAATTAAAATGAAATGTAATTAAAAGCCATTTTTGTGAGAATCAGTTAAATAAAAGTGTGAAGTTCTCAAGACTCTGACAAATAATCTGAAACAATCATGTATTTTACTCTATTATCATTATATCCTAGACTCATGTGAGCATCCTGATTCTACATCTAGGCTTTTCAAACCAACTTTGAGAAATACCTGTGTATTCCCCTTGTAGTTATGGAGTTGAATATGAATCTTAAGTGCAGTATTGATGCTTATGCCTATTATAGTTTACTTTGCAAGTTTTGTTTCCAGTTCTACTTCTGTCAACAATACTTTGGGATCCAGTTGTTCTACAATGATAACATTTGATAATGAAGCCAAAAGGCTATGGTTGCCTATCAGAGGAGTCAAGCTAGTGAATACAACAAGGGGAATCAGTAAGAAGCCAGATAAAGGAAGTGACATGAGAGGGTGTCTTGTGAGGATACATTTATGAGATGAACAGAGAATAAAGAAAGGAAGGAATAGAAAATATAATACAGACATGCCATAGTACAAGTTATTTCTGTAAAGTACTTGAGTAGGAATGCTAGAAATACAGAAGAATCTGACATTGAAAATTTTGATTCTGGCTGAGAGAAATGTCTTGGGAATGGCCATTAGAAAGGGTAGTCAAAATGGACCATAAATGGAGATTAACACGAACCAATACAAATTGAGAAATGGCAGGAAAACTGTTATTTCCATGTAATGTAAGTAATGCTACCTGATTAAAGATAAAACTATTGAAAAAGGCATCAACTTGACTTTCAAAGGACTATTCTGAGTTAAAGAAGTGAACATCAAAGAGTTACATACTATATTATTTTTGTTGTATGACATTTTAGAAAAAACAAAATTATATTGATAGAAAACAGATCAGTGGCTGTCAGAGGTTAGTGGTGGATATATGGCTATGAAGAATAGTATGAGGGAGTTATCTGGGGTGATACAACTGGTCTGTATCCTGAGTAAGTTAATTATAAAGCATGTTAGTTAAAGGAGAGAGAAAAAATGAGAGAGAGAGAGAGAGAGAGAGAGAATAAGAGAGAGAAAGGAGGTGGAGGAGGAGAGGAGGAGGAGAAGGATGTCCAAAACCACTACTCTTGCTTAAGAGATGGAGAAACTGAAGACTGTGGCCCGGAGAATATCAAATGGCTAGAGAGAGGTGAACCAACCCTCCACCCACACACACACTAATACACATACGCATATGCACAGGTATGCCCATGCCCACAAACCAACCTGAAGGAAGGAGGAGGAGACAGAACTTAGAGAATGGAATTTTTTAGAGGTTTACAAAAATGTTTGGAAAGTGAAGGTAAAAGATATTCCTCAGATTTCAAGAAAAAAGTAAAGACAAGAAAACTGTAACTTGTTCATAACTATGTTTAAGTCATTAAAAGTATAAAATCATCATCTCTCATTCCTAAATCAACATTGTTAAATAATTGCCAGGATGTTTGTTATGACTATAGGAAATCAGTCTTCTGTGAGTTCAGTATATCAGCTCTAGCCACACCACACAAATAACATTTTGTTTTTGTTCAAGGACAGCATCCATAGCTTTATGGCTTCCAGAATGGCAGGTCGTCATCTCCAGGAGGACTGTAAGCTGATAGGAAGACTCAATTACCACCTTGGCAGAACTCACAGTGTGATAGAGAATAAACTGTTTTGCCTTGATAATCACTAGGAAGAGAGTTCTGAGAGAGCTCATAGATATGATGCCTGCTTCCTGAGAACTTAGGTCTCACACACTAGGCAGTAGGGGTCAGAGTGAAGATGAGGACTGAGAGATTTGTCTGAAAGCTGCACTGGTTTAGGAAAATACTGATTTTACTTAACTTGTGCAGTATATGGCCTTATGTATGACTAGTTCAGTGGGTGGATGTTGATCTATAAATTGAAAAGGTTTTTCAAAGTAGGAAATTATTTTTAAAAACACATAGACTATGAGTTTTATTTAAAATTAAACTCCAAAAAGCGTAAATTTATTTAACAAAGTTAGTAATTTTCAGTATTTTTTAATTTCAAAAAATAAATTTCAGTCATTTTTTTCCATTTTTTTCAACAATTGATACAGATTGTTTAAAGATCAGTAGGCTGTAAAATCCTATTATGGCATCCCTTGCTATTACATGAGTAAACTTGGGTTTTCAACTTAATCCCATCACTTCTTATTTATACTTAGATACTTCTGTTTCTTAGAGTTCTCTATCATATCTAACCTTATTTTTTAGCACATTGCATCTAAATTTGTATCACACATATATGTATTTCTGTAGGCTGTCTTCCTATAACAATCAAGAAAATTGAAATCCATTTTTAAACAAATCATTTACTTGCTTGAAAATGTAAACACCCCTATGTTTGTTTGTTTTAGTCCAATGACATCTTTGCAGTCGTCAAAAGGGATGCAAGTTTTCCGTATGTAGCTTATATTTTAGAACAATGTGCATTTCAGAACAAATAACAACGGTAACTAGAAACTTATGCTTCTAAACGAAATACACTGTATCAGTCAACTTTAGATAAATAAATAAATAAATAATACAGAGAGAAAAACAACCATAATAACAATGAGTAAAACCTTCAGGTCCAACTTTCCAAGAACTCTCATAAACCATTTGCACAATGGCTGAATACTTCAAGAATAAACATTTGTTACTCTTGAGCTGCCCTGCACCCGAATAGCCCTTCTAATTTGGAGGAATCGCCAGTTATGTATTTTTTGATAATTAATCTCTTATCAAATCTCTAAAGTATTCTTAGAGTGCTTACTGCCTAGATGTAACATCAACATAAACTGTTTATTAGACAAGACAGAAAGGATCTAGAATAGACTATTTACTAGAGTCTGTACATGGGCTTTCTTTTTTAAAAATATTATAATCATGGAGTACATATGAGGATTTATTATATAAGTATTTTGTGTAAGGGTAAGGTTTGGACTTCTGAAGAGCCCTTCCCTTGGATCTAAACAACTCCCAGGAGTGGATATGATACCAATGAGTGGTTTTCAGTCAAAAATAAGCTGTTAAGAGAATATCCAAGTAGAAGAACTGACTTTAAAACAGACATAAACATCAATCCCCAGAGAGCAATTAATGCAAGTTTTTAGTTTTACATGCCTGTAAGAAGACAAGCTTCAAATACTAGCAAAGAAGTTACAGTATAGATAAGGATGTTGTCATTATCTATAACATTAAAAGGCAGTAGACTGTGGAGCAACCAAAGTGAATAGCATAAAGACTCCAAAACACTTTGAAGAAGGAAACTATTCTGTCAGTGCAAAATGCCTAAAACATAACATGACTGCTGCTAGGTTTCCTTCACTGAATAGCAGAAATAGTTTAAGTGAAAAAGCCATAGTTATTTTAGTGAGAAGCAAGTGAGAGAAAATAGAAATGGGAGGTGATGTCTAAATTTATAGTCAATCTTTTCAGAAGAAAAGCATCAGGAGGTAAATTGGAAAGTAGGAAGAGAGAGAGAAAAACAGTAAGTCAGTTTCAGCAGCCAAAGGGAAGAAAGAAGAAGGTACTAAAGGGTCTGGCTTCCACCAGCTGATAGGAAATGTATTTGTTGCGATTGAGCTGTTAGTCATGCATCAGTTTCCTTTTAATAGTAAAATACACTGAAATACTCTGAAATTTTAGAAGTAAGATTCTTGGCATTTTAGATATTTGTTGTTTTGCCTCACATAAATCTGTTGTTTGACAGAGCAACATCATTTTCAATACAGTTAAATTCAAAGCATGAAAATGAAAAGATAATGTTATTCTAACTCACCTTCATATGACACATAAAGACTGTCTTCAACAGCACATTTTTTTAGATGAACTATGTTTGCACCAGGCTGCTTTAGTCCACTTATCCTGAATTCTTCTAAAATGGTAGTTATTTTATATACAAAGCTTGGAGTGTTCTTTCTCCCTTGCCTCCCATATTCCTTTTCTTCAAGATCACTAGCATTTTCCCTTTATTAGAATATATATACATACGTGTGTGTGTGTGTGTGTGTGTGTGTGTGTGTGTGTGTGTAATTTCCCTGCTCTGGTCAGCTTTTTTCTTTAGGTAATAATTAAAGTGGAACCTAACTGAAAAAAAGAAACTGACGGTAAAACCAAAGTTACCTTTCAATAATGGGAAAGGATAGGCAATCTTGGATACCTCACGATTCTAAAATAATGGCTTCACCCCTGCCTTGCCCAGAAAATAGACGAACGATGCTTCTTTGAATCTGCTTGGTCTTGATGCTGTATATAATGGGGTTCATGAATGGAGGAAAGAGAATGTGAATGTAGCTCATGGTAATGTGAACCACATGTGGTACATGTGTCCCAAACCTGTGGACAAAAGTCAGGCCAATCACAGTGATGTAAAATACCAGGACACAGCTTATATGGGAGACACAAGTGTTGAGAGCTTTAACTTGCTCCTCTCCAGAGGCGATGCCCAGAACTGTTTTAAAGATTAAGATATAAGAAATTAAATTGATCAGAGCATCCAGGAAGTAGGTCAAGACAACTTGAATGACTGGGCATAAGCGATTGAATGTAATATCAGCACAGGCGAGTTTCATGACATCTTGATGGAGACAAAAAGCGTGAGAAAGAACATGGGAATGGCAATATGGGAACCAATGAAGTAGCAAAATTGGAGGTGCAATAGATAAAAAGCCTCTCATCAGTATCCCCAGTCTTATCTTCATTACTCGGGAATTAGTGAGAATGGAGTTGTACCTCAGTGGTGTGTGGATGGCAATTAAATGGTCATAGGCCATGGCAAACAAGATACCTGATTCTACAGTGGCCAGTGTGTTAATGAAATAGGATTGAGTGAAACAGGCACCTTGGGCCATCTCCCTGTGGTCCAGCAACAGGACACTCAGGACTGTGGGCATTGTAGTTATTGTTAACCCAAGATCTGTACCTGCCAGCATGGCCAGGAAGTAGTACATGGGCTCATGAAGGCTGTGGTCATTCCAAATGAGGACAAGAAGAGTGCCATTTCCAAAAATGATGGAGAGGTAGATGGCAAAGAAGGGAATAGCAATCCAGTGGTGAACTATCTCTGAGCCCATGAAGCCAGTGAGCAAGAAGGGGACAGCACTGTTGTTGGACCACATGTTAGGCTTTACAGGTGGGAAAGAACATTTTCAGGAATGATGACCCGTAAATATGCAGTATTCTTTTTTTCCTCTCTCCATCTTCATATAGCACATCATCAGGTCATTTTTTACTACAAAATTTACAACGTCTTGTATATTGTCTCAGACTTAATTAAATGTAAACCTGAATTCACAAGGCATTCCCCTAGAATAGTAAACAACAGCAGATAGTCAGGAAAATAATTACAACAATTTGTTGTGAAGCATACAGCTCTTATTTTTTCAATCATAAAACTAATGTCTGTGCTCTTGGCCTTGACTCTTAGTTCCAAATAGCTAGCACTCTTTGGTTCTATTTCATTCTCTTCATTCTTTTATTTTTTTTCTCATCTTTTAATTGTGTTTCATATGGGCTCTTTCAATATTTCTATCCAATTTGAGTCAGTTTAGACTTTCTCTCTTGAAACTAATAAGATAATTGTCTTAAAGCTTAATCACTGAGAATAATGCTTAATTAGTAGAAATGAACCCACCGTTATTAAATGACTGATAAATATTTTTACCAATGTTCTTATCCCAAGTGGACTATAAATAAGGAGAGAACTCAGCCTGGGCAGCAAAGCAAAACCCCGTCTACAAAAAATAAAAATAAAATTAGCCGAGCATAGTGGCATGTGCTGGTAGTCCTAGTTACTCCAAGGCTGAGGCAGGAGGATCACTTGAGCCCACTGAGCTATAATGGTGCCACTGCGCTCTTGCCTAAGTGAAAGAATAAGACTCTGTTTGCAAAAAAAAAAAGAAAGAAAGAAAGAAGAAGAAAAAATTAAAAAGGAGAAAACTTTTGTGCATGTCTGGATAAATCTGAACAAGTACACAGAGCTAGTAAATTTATTTTAAGAAAGTATAATTACTTAGTATATTTGGGACTCAGCAAATTTTCAGTGTTGCAAAAGGTCTGAGACCTGCAACATCAAAGACAAACTTTATAACAAGAAAAGAGACCTAGGTTTGTAACTTCTAAAAGAAACATTTTAAAAGAAAACAGACTCTTAGAATGAAAGCCTGCCCAAAAACTTAATACTTATACAGAGTCATAGATTTAAAAATAAGGTTTATGTGGAGGATAGAGTAACATCAGAAATTGGTGACTGAGTACATAAACTTTACACATACTAAGGGAAAGATAAGGATTCTCAGAGTGAAAAAGATGGTGACTGCATTGCTAGTGGAGGTAACTATATAAAACTTCTTATCATTATGAATCTACAAAGCCTATGTTCAAAAAAATTAATAATAACTTTCAGAGGGTTCTTTGAAACACAGCCTATTTATGAATACATTCTTTGAAAATCAAGTTTTCTTTGTTTGGTATATAACCAGGATATTTTGTAGCAGGTTTATTAAAATAACAGTTAAAGAAAATCACAAGGGAAACATTAGTATCTCCCAAAAAATTCAACTGATTCTGTGTGCCCAAATCTTTTAAAATGTCGCTTTCTTTTATGAACTTTATTAATGATACCTTGAAAGGAAATTCACGAAAAATAAGATGATAACCATCTTTGCACCACTTCAATCTTATAAAAACATGTAAAAACAACAATAATTATATGTTTGAAAGTTTTGGCACATGGTAATATCTCTGATAATAAGAAATAGATGGTGGAAGGAGATAGAGGAAAAGTGGATGGGCCATGGAAATAGCCACCATTTCAGGAGACACTGTTAATGACAAAAATGTCAGTCTGGGCACTGAAGTAGCCAATATTCTGTTTATGTGGATACTAAAAATACTGCCAACAAATTTGATTCACTAAATTATGACCTATGTGGAACTCACCTTGGTAACACTGATCTACCTCGACGGAAGTGATGTGTATATCACCATAAATCTTCTTAACCTTTTAACCTTGCCTTATAAAAGAATGGATAAATGCCACAATTTTTTTGTACAGAATAAAAACAAATACCTCTTTAGACCTATTGTCATTCAGAAAGTGACCCAGAGGAAGGAAGCAAGAGACAACCAGGAACATGCTTAAACTATAGTGCTATTTAACGCTTGTACTATGAATTTAGAACTCTGGGCTGCTAAGGGTTTAGGCACAAAAACTGTGTGATAATTTTTTGGGAATAGTTCTTATGATGTATGAATTTATATTTTATTGACCTAAACAGAATAGTGCCCTTTTATTATCTGCAGTCCTTAGCATTAGCCACACTGGCATTTAATTACGGCAAATTTGGTAGTCCCAGAAACTGTCTACACTCCCAAATATGCCAGGGGAAATAGCCACCTAGTTTAAGGAGTACATGGCATTAGTGACAATCATAACTTTGGTGGAATTTCTTATCATACCATCAGATAAGCCTAAAAGATTCATAGAGATGCAGACATGACTAGAGCTCACCATTTTCTCACTCAATTTTGAGGGTCCTTTGGATGGTTCTTTGAAACCAGCTAGTTCTCAAGACTTTCTGAGATACATTACTCAGCGATTTTTCAAACTTCTATACTGATTTACAAGCTGAGAAGTTGTTCCAGAAGCAAATTATAAAGACATTAGAGTCAAAAATAGAAGTCAACAAGAGTACATTAAGATTATGTTAAGAAAATGTAAATTTAAAATTCCATTTAGTTTCAGATAATCTGCAAGTACTCTGTATCTCTGTAATCAGTCTTCTGATTCCACTTTTTCACCCTCACTATTACCCAAGAATCATGCTCCTTTAGAAGAAACTAGGAAAAATGAATAAAAAAATGTTTCAAGCTAACAATGGGAAGCCATGGGATGGAAACAGAAATTTAAAAGATCTCAGCTTTAAGTTATTGCTTAAATCTTACCATAATACAAACTAAAATGGGATAGTAAATATGGAGAGAAACATTAGAAAGCTAGGAAAAAAACATCGCTTTAAGATAAAAAGAAGGAAGAGTATCTCAAGGGAGATAGACAAAGAAGTAGAAAGAGATATAAGAGGATAGCAAAGGTTATCTGTATTTACAAAAGAATAGAAAAGAAAGTTTATAGAAGTATATAATTTAATAGTGAAAACATAATATAATTGTCAAATAAGATAAAAATACTCATTGTTTTTGGCAACTATGTCTTCAGTCTTCTAGAAAAATTCAATAGAATGGTAGGAATGAATGTCTAATGATTGTAAGTAGAAAAGTGAATAAAAAGAAGATAATATTTTATTTTTCAGGTGAGGAGATTGAATTTTAGGCTGAGTACTATGCTTAGATCACACAACAAATGTGTCATATGAGAATTCAAACTCAGGTTCATCTCACCCAAACTCCAAGTTCATGTTCCAAACTGATACCTATCAAATATAAATAGTTCTCCTGTCCAAGTTCACCTTTCTACTTAGTACTCCCTTCTCTGAATTCTTCATTTAATTAAACAACAACAGTGACAAAAAGATGTTCTGCTTTCTCAGTCTTCACTCATGAATTGGCTGCATGAACTAAGTAGAAAAATTACTCTTAAACATCCTTGTTTCATTTTAATCAGTGGCTTCTTACCTGAGCCACAGTTTTCTCTTTGTGGCTTCTGAGCATGATCTAAGGTTACGTTTTTTGCTATAACCTTAGTAATTATTCAAAGTTCCGATATTTGCTAAAGAAACAATTCCCCCAGGGTCAATACCACATAAGCTACCTGAGAATACTGTACCAAATAATTTTATTTTTCTCACTCACCTGGGAAAAATCTGAACCATTGGAGTTGGTCCCCATGGTCTTCATTTTTTTCTTTGAATGGAGAATCTCTATGAGAAACTTTGTCTTCAACGTAAGATAAGGCACTAACTATCTGAGTTACTGTCAAGTATTCTGTGTTTCATAAAGTGGAAAGATCAGTCATTTTTTTCCTAAATGTTTGTATTTGAAGAACAACCCCCTTTTAAAAACTGTTTATGTCTTATATTTTCAAAGATTATAGTATTATTAAAAATGATAATCAAATTCAACCCTTTACAAAATCTTTGAGTCGCCACTTAGCAAATTTGTCTATTTTATCAAATATTTATTTGTCCTTTCCATTGATTGAAAGCTCACTACCCTAGAGGTATTTCATTCATATCTATATATGAATATACATATAAATTCTATTATTTACTATAAATATATGTATATACGATAGTTACTACATATGTATGCATATATATGTGTACATATATACATATATAGAGTTTTTTAAAATATCCAATATTTGCTATATACTCCTTATTTCTAGTTCTGATCTTCAGAAAAAAGCTAATCAGGTCTAAATAATCACATTCATATATTTTCTCTGATGTGTTAAAATATCTGCATTAATACCTCTAAGACTTCTTTCTTGATATTTGAGCAAACACTAGTTTTCAGCTGCTTATCACATAATGATTCCTAATCTTGATTCATTTTCTGTAATGCTGCTCCTGACTGAACATAATAATTTAGGAACTGTCATTATCAGTCCTATTCTCAAAATGTTTTCCATTGTATCATATCCTGAGCTTTTATTTAAGCAGTCTAAGATTGTGTGCAGGTCCATAACTCTATACCCAAAACCCTTGTCTCAAGAAACTGATTCAGTTCACACTGTACTCACAGTAAACAAAACCTTTGAAACATTTATGTGAGCTGCATTTTCAGTGCTTAACACAGAGCTTGACATGCGGTTGGTGCTCAATAAATATTAGTTGAATGAATGAAGGCTGTTCATGTAATTATGCCATTGGTTTTGTGGGCAAATGGTAGATCTAATTTAATAATGAGATTAATATTTCAAGCATGTCAAATCATACTATCTCCTTTGCTTTATTGTTCATTTTTTTATTGTTCATTATTTATTTTATATCAATCATAGGGCAGAGAGAAAAGCATGACATAACGAGAACAAAAAAAGAGATTTGTTTATTTGTTTGTTTATTCTCTTTCAGAGACGTAATCTCACTCTCTCCCCCAAGCTAGAAAGTAAGAGTGCAGCTTGGAACTCCTGGGCTCAAGTATTCCTCCTGCCTCAGCC